TGGTGGATGAAAAGATGTTTGCACTGATTTAGATGGTGCACCAGCAGGTACCAGGTACCGGTACCTGGTACCAGCACTATCAATACCTGTAAGGACTTTCTTAGTCTCCAATTCAGCGGAGCACGAACGGTGTACCTGTACGGCGTTTTTTTCTGTCATATTCAATATATATTACATATATGTCTGAGAGTTTCCAGTGGAAATTTCGTGACTCAAAAGAACGTGGCATTTTGTCCGCAAATCCGATTAAATATGCAAGGCTCACAACTCTCAGAAAACAAAACTTGATTCAATCACAGTACGCTATGACAAATATACAGAAGAGAGGAGTAACCATGAACAAATCTGTCGAGGTGGTAGAAATATTGCACCTTGACGACTTTACCGCCAGCGAGATCGCAGCTTCGTGGTATGATGAAGAAGAAATGAAGGAAATTACTCAGGGATGCTTCAAAGTACTACAAAGAATGGAATATGGAGGAACCAAAAAAGGTAAAAAGTATTGCACTCGGGGTCTTGAAGGGCACACTACGCTAGGATCCATCAGTAAAAAGGAAACAAGAACAGCTTCGTTCGTAGCAGTATTGGACGAACAAGAAAAGCAATGGAACGAGAACAAAGATTTTGATTTTCAAGCCATTTCAGATGCATACAGAAAAGTTAGCTCAAGCAGCCAATTGTGGGCTCAAGTCATTGGTAACCGTGACCACCAAGCCATAGAAGCCTACCTCTACCAAGATGAAGAAGAGGACGAAGAGGTTCAAGCGACTACTACAGCAGTTTCAATCAAGTCTGCAAAGTCTGTTTTCAAAAGCCCCGTCAGCCAAACAAAACCACTGAATATGGAGGGCGCAGCTGGTGTTGTCGTCCATCAAGCTGTTGCAAGGGCGGCATGACGAGTTCTAGCTCTTTAAATAATGTTTCTTAGACAACACTAGGATATCACTTCAAGGTACTTGACTGCGGAAGTTTCTTATCACGAAAAGTCATTTGTGCCAGATTTCTAAATTATAGTTCATATCTCCGAAAACGTGCTTGGCTACTATAGACATTGGTATTGGTACCCTTCAACTGGTCTGATCGTCATCGTTGATCCCTTCGAGTCAATCAGCTGCTGTGCCTCTTCCAAATCTGATACCCAGGTACAGTACGTGTACCGGGTACCGGTAAACAAAATACATCTGGAATTTTGAGTCATTTGCCGAAACTGTTGGTGCCTGCTGGTACCAGTACGTGTACAGTGCCCGTATACTTTATTCTTCCGATCGCCTTGGTTTATCCTTCCGAATTAGTCAATTTTGGTGAATCGAAGACACTACCTACAGTGCAGTGTCGCAGATAGTCGACTGGCGCCTTCCGCTTTTATATTCGTATTGGTTCTTTCTTTAGTGGGTGTGGCTGGAACAGTAGATTGTGGTGTGAAGCTAGATTTATGAGGTGCTACTGTCGCATTCCTCTCCAAAGAAGACCTTCTTTCCGATTGCTGTCAAGTCGTTGTCAAATTTGTTGTGCTTTAATATTCGACGGAGTGTTTCAGATCTATCTTGAGCACGCTTGGAACTCATCTGACCCGCGGAGAAGAACCGAATCGGAATTCCATACCGCATCCTGCTGCTCTTGTTGGTGGTTGATCCATGGATCAGGCGCTGATCCCAGATCACGAGACTGCCAGCACGCATAGTTACACGCTGGGCAACAGCTATCATTTCTGGACCGAATCGATACGATGAACATCCAAGTTTGTCTCTTGATATTGACTTGGCCCATTTATCGAAGCATCGATGAGATCCAGGTATCAGCAAAGTGCCTCCGCCGTTCTCATCACATGGGAGATCATCGAGATTCAAAATGCCTTGGACAACGCGGCCAAAGAGTTGGTGGACGTCATTGTTTTCGGAAAGAAAGGCACGGTTCTTCCGTGAGGCATAATCAAGTCTGTCGAGGCGGTGCATTATTTCGGAATAGTACATGTTATCGACGAACTCTGGTGGATTCAAGTCCAAGTGAACGTTCGGTTTGGTCGCCCAATCCGACCTGAACACACCATTACGTACTTTGGTCGGGCGGTGCATCAGCCATCTGTCATGACTGCATATTATCTCAGTGCTCTTGAGTATGCTCGCAAAGCATTGGACTACCAAAGGATGTTGTCGCAAGCGCAACATGAAGGGTTCGAATACAACTTCACTGGAATTGTCCTTTGGCGAGCCGAAAGATGAAAAGCCTAGGTCCCAAGTCGCTCCATTCTCTCGTTCTAGACTCGGAGTAATCTTTTCGAGGTGGCTCCACATGCTGTCAATTGTTTGCGAGCATTCGTCGGACGAGATTACGTCCCGAAAAACGACGAATCCAAATGCTTCAAAAAAGTCTTGAACAGTTTCGGATGTTGCCTCGTCTACTGCAAAACTTTGAGAATACCGAGCGTCATCTTCCTCTAACGGTATCTCTTTGTAGCTGTAAAAGTCCATGGTTTTCTCTTTTCTCTTTTTGTTTTGTGTTGTTTCTGTGAAGAACGAGTTGAGTTCCAATAAGTTGCGAGACATGACATGACATCACGCATCAAGCACGTTTCAAGTGCTGCAGTCGAAGGCGTCGACCATCACGCTCGTTCTCATTATTCCTTCACATCATGATGATCTGTGTCACCAGATCAATAATGTAGCTGACCTTTTGTGTTGTATTCAAGTGGCATTCATTCGTCATTGAACAGAGAATAGAGACGAGAAACTGCATCTAGAACACGTCTGGTGAAAAATAATCTAACAACAAGACCTATCCTTCTTCCATGATAGTAGACGAGAACTCCAAGACTCCGATCCTTTTGTGGATAGTCATCTTGGTTCTTCCATCATGACAGCAATTCCTTTTTGGCCACTCGAGTCGTTTTCAGCTTCTTGTCCTTCGCGATCGTTCAAAACTGACATCGTGTGAGAATCAATGGAATCAATCATCGGTGGGCGAAAAAAATCGATCTTTTTGTTAGGTGGCGGGAACGTTCTACAAGATCCATTTGAAAAAGATACCGCCAGGCACACGTGTACCAGGGGTACACCCATCCACAATGCCAGGACCAGAGAACCGCACTACACTGCCAACTGCCACTACCAGTGCTATTTTGGATTATGTAATAGTTACATTGTCTTTTAAAATAATTATAAATGCGTCTATGTGAGTGTCTATTTTTTGCTTGTTTTTTGTTTCTGATTGTCATCCGTGGTGGAGGAGCAATGATTTATTTATTGTACAAGTTGTTGTTGAGGCACGTAGTAACGTTGCTGCTGGTTGCTTGGGTGGTACTTGTAGCGGTAGTGCTTGTTGTTGTTGTGGTAGTGGTGACGATGATGATTGCTGTGGTACATGTTATGGTTGTTGTTCTGGCGTTGCATCAATGCCATGCGTTGGTCTGTCAGATGTTGTTGCTTGAATTTGTTGGTCTTCATGAGACTGGTGTAAATCTCTTGTTCCCATACAGCTTGCACCGTTTTGTACAAATCCAAAGCGGCCAAAGCATCCTCAAAAGGGCTGTGTGGCTTGCCATATACTTGGATTTCCCGTTCCAATTTCTCACAAGATAGTTCCTTCAGCTTGCGAGGCCACCAAGCTAGGTTGTTGGCTCTCTTCTTCATGAATGGAAGATAAGTAGCAGTATCCCGTGTCAACCACCATGGTTGATTGATCCCCAAGGCATCCAAATCGTTCTTCAAGCCATGTCCCACTAGAATACGATTGTAAAGTAGACGTGAAACTTGCTCCCTGCATTGTTCCAACGTCATACTTGCCCCTTCCAAGTTATCTTTAGTAATTCCCGATACAAAAGTTCGATAATCTGTCACTGGTAGTTTTTGAATAACATAGCTATCTATCAATGCATTCCCTTCCCAATCGATCAGGGTCACACGAGCAACCGATGATCTGTCCCCATGTTTGCCAACTCCAACCATTTCGCAGTCAAGTGCTACGATGCTGGAAGGATGTGGCATCTGAAAGCCAACGTTGCTGTACGAATGACCAGTTGTTGTTGTTGTTGCTGTTGTTGTTGCGTTTTCACGGTTGCTAACATCAAAGGATGGCGAAGAAGCTCTATTTGATGATGTCCCCCATGGGTTTTGACCCTTGACCCGAGTTGGTGAATCTTCAAAACTACCGCTGGATGAGAAAGATACATCTAGATGATGATCAGTGTTGTCCATCATAAAATTAGGTGCGTTGTTGTTATTGTTGTTGTAGAATGTTGAAGTGCTCATCTTTGGAATTTGTGGGATTTGAAAATCTTTTTTTGCGGAAGAACGAAGATGGGTTCAAAAGATAGCGATCCAGAGTTGATGCCTGTCAGCGTGGCCAAAATTGTTCTGGATGGATTTTTTATGTGCTTGAAAGGCGAGGTGCTCGCGGGATGCGTTTGGGAGAAAAGGTGCTCTAGTGACTGAAGTCACTTCTGCGGTTGAACAGTCACGTAGAAGGCTACCAGGAAATCTCGACGCAAGTCGGCTCGACGATGTCATCAGAATTCGGCTATCTCCGTAGGATTTCAACGAGGATTTGCCGTATTGGTCCTTCCGCCTCCAATCCCGTCGACAATACACGTCTGGACCTGCTCAATCTTGTGAACTCTACAAGAGTCAATCGGTTCTCCAAATTCCAATTTGGGTCGGGTGAAAACCGGAAGGTCGGTGTCAAGGATTTAGTCGAGAATCAAA